GGGTTGACCATATCCATCCAATATTCAATCAACTGCCTACACCAAGGGGTTGACCATATCTATCCAGTATCCAATCAATGGCCTACACCAAGGGGTGGACCATATCCATTCAATATCCAATCAACTGCCTACACCAAGGGGTTGACCATATCCATTCAATATCCAATCAACTGCCTACACCAAGGGGTTGACCATATCCATCCAATATTCAATCAACTGCCTACACCAATGGGTTGGCCATATCCATCCAATATCCAATCAACTGCCTACACCAATGGGTTTGCAGTTTTCAGACCCCTCTCCGTCAAGCTCAAGTATTGTTTTCATTTACATATTTAGTTACAAATTATGTCTTAAAGCATGTGCTCACAGACTCTGATAATGTGGTCACAGACTCCGATAATGGTCTGAGCTTTTTTTTTTTTTTTAATGTATCTTTATTGATTTCAGAGAGAGGAAGGGAGAGGGGGAGAGAGAGAAACATCGACGATGAGAGAGTCATTGATCAGCTGCCTCCTGCATGCCCCCGACTGGGGATCGAGCCCGCAACCTGGGCATGTGCCCTGACCGGGAATCGAACCATGATCTCCAGAATCATAGGACGATGCTGAACCACTAAGCCACACCGGCCAGGCTATGAGCTGTTTTGTTGTTTTCATTTACTCACCCTGATGAAATTCCTAACCACTCAGAATGGAGATGCTGTCAAATAAACTAGAAACTCTAATGGAGGTAATGATTCTTTAATTCTTAAATGGAATTATGGATTAGCCTGGCCAGTGGGTGTGAAAAGTGGTTGAGAGTCAACCTAGGAACCAGGAGGTCTCCAGTTCGATTTCTGGTCAAGGCACATGCCTGGGTTGAGGGCTCCACCCCCAGTGTGGGCGTGCAGGAGGCAGCCGATCAATGACTCTCTCTCATCATCGATGTTTCTATCTCTCTCTCTCCCTCTCTCTTCCTCTCCCTGAAATCAATAAAAACATATTAAAAATTATTATTTTTTAGATGCACACTACAGTCCTGATCTAATGTTCCTATGATTAAAAAAAAAGAGAGAGAGAATAGCCTGTTGGATTCCGCGGAAGGATGGTTTTATCGAGGCCATTCCATCAAATTAGCCCATAGATTTCATTAGTGAAACAGATTTGCCAGGGGAGTAGCGTGGAATCACCCAGTTCAAACAGGAAAGAGCTCTGGGAGGGGTTCTGATGGAGTAGAAACGATTATTGTTCAGAAAAGAGTGTTCTTTGGATCGGGGAGTTTAAATGGTGCGATTCCTCTGTGTTTGCATGAACCAGGAAAGTGCATTTCAGTTGGAGGCATTAGCAAACGAGATACATTGACATTTAGAAGTCGTTGGCTGGAAGCTACTTATTTGCTTTAAAGCGTTACATTGTAGCAACATTCGCTGTGAACTTGACTTGCACTGAACTGAACACAGGGGTAACGCTCTGCGTTCAAGGCTGAGACTTTACACACTGTCACACATGGATGGCATTTCCAGCACTCAAGCCAAACAGCCAAACATTTCCAACACATCCAATAGATTTCTTAAAAAACAAACAGAAACTGGAGTAGCTAGTGGTATGCTTCTAGGATTGCAGGACAGCCCCAGTTCCCAAACATCATTCAGGACCCTGGACACTCTCTCTCTGACCCATACCGCTCACGTATCCAAAAAGTCAACCGTGAAAGCAAACGGTCAGTGTCACCTGCACCCCCCCTCTCTCCTCAGCAAATCCTCAGATGCATCAGCTCACGGAAAAGGTGGCCCATGGGTGAGCTGTGAGGCCAGAGCTCATTGGCACCCTCACCTTTGTAAATCCCGTTACTTCCTCCGTGGAGCTCTCCTTTGGTGGTAATTTCCTCCACGTGGGCCCCTTGGTCCGAGGTGAAGTAGACGAGGGTGTTGTTAGCCAGTCTTAACTCCTCTAGGACATCGAGGATTTGCCCTGAAGGGGGGGAAATAGTCAAGTTTAAAACAGCTGCATATTTTTAAAACCAATTTTTAAAAATATATATGTTTTTATTAATTTCAGAGAGAGGAAGGGAGAGACAGATCGAATCATCAGTGATGAGAGTCATGGATCGGCTGCCTCCTGCAGGCCCCCGACTGGGGATCGAGCCCCCAACCCGGGCCTGTGCCCTGATTGGGAATTGAACCCTGACCTCCTGGTTCATAGGTCGAGATTCAACCATTGAGCAACACCGGCTGGGCCGTTCAATCTTTACAAGAGAAAGGGAGGTTATCTGGCTCGTGGACTTGTCCGCCAGTTCCCTGGGGTGGGAAGGAGATGGTGTGATACACGGGAGCCCTCCCCGGCTGATCCCAACAGAGGACGTGTTGTAATCCAGAGCACAAACTGTGGCAGGGTCCCTGGCCAAGACGACAAGAAGATTCAGTCGTCGAATCAAGGGACACCTATCATCTGGACCCCTCGGCATCATAGAGCGATTCCGTACAGAGAACTGGTGAAATATTCTACGAGAATGCGGCTCGTAGGTCATCGGTTGCTTAGAGGAAGTTGCCAGAAGAGGGAGCCCAGATTTTTGCAATCACCAGCTAGCTGGCCACAGTCCTCAGGTCATAAAGAAGCCTAGTCATTAATTGTCTTTATCGACTGGAAAAAAAAGCAACCCTTTCATGTCTCTCTTGTAGGAACAAATCCGTCTACAGATATTTTATGATGAACGGCCTATTTTAATACCTACGGTAGAGACCCAAGTCCAAAACCTTCCATCGTATCACTGTTTCTCATAGTTTCCTTTCTCTTATCTTCAGGTCCTTTCCCCAAATGTAACATAGTCTCCTACCCCCACATAACAACACTTCAAAGTAATAACAATAGCAACAGCATTAAAAATTAATGATACCGTTGTTTGAATATTGTCTACATGCAAATGACTTATTAAATGTTCTCTTGTTTAGACCACACTGAATGAACCCGATGAGTAATTAGACTTTTTTTTTTTTTGACAGAGAGGACAGCAGCAATGCTCTGAAAAGATAGGTGACCTTCTCAAGGTCACACAGTGAGGAAGGCAGAAAGGCAGAAAGTAAGAGTGAGGTCTGATTCTGAAATCAAACCCTGCGTGGCCCCGTGCATGGACTCAGTGAGAATCACTGAGAAGCCAAAAAGACGTTAAGGGGGAAAAAAATCAGAGATACGCACTAAGATAGCCACGGACAAAATGATAGGATGGCCCCTGTGGTCTTCCAATGAATGCAGGATGAGGGGGACTACGGGCTGCAGATTAAATAGGGGTGGATCACGGGCACGTGAGAGTGTTTGAACTTTCCTGTTGACTCCCATGTATGCCCCCAACTTTCCATATGGGGCAAAGACAAGCCAGCTGAGGATTTAAGAAGGGGCTGAACATGGACTCTCTGATTAGGAAGCCATCGCCGGCTCTCACGTCAGAAGAAAATGATACTAAGCTAGAGGGATACAATTTCTAATTTCCACAGAGGTCTATGTACTCATAGGCTGCTGGCTTAATTTAATCAGTCAGTGCAGGCAGGTATACTTTGGGATATCAGAGTCTGAGTCCATTTTTGTTGTTATTAATCTTCATCGAGGATTTTTACATTGCTTTTAGAGATAATGGAAGGGAGGGAGGAGGAGGGGAGAGAGAGAAACATTGATGTGAGAGAGACATCGATTGGTTGCCTCCTGCACATGCCCTGTCCAGGGCTGGGCGTTAAACCTATAACCCAGGTACGTGCCCTTGACAAGCAACCCTTCGGCGCTCGGGCTGATGCTCCAACCCCTGAGCCCCGCCGGCCACGGCTGACTCCAGGTTTCGTGATCTGCGACTGCTAAGGGCCTTCAGGCCTCCCCTCCTCCTATCCACTTGCGCTCAATAAACTAAGAAAACCTGGGTGCTGCCTCCTGCTGTGTCTGTGAACCTGGAGGAGCCCTTTCCACTCCCCGACTCCTACCCGCTGGGGAACTACCATGCTCTCCCAGAAGCCTCATTCCATGTGTAACAAACCTGCTCATATCCACCTGGTGGGACTGTGGCATTATCGGTCTGGACACGGGCACCGAATTTTGGGTGGCATTCTTCTCGTCACTGTAGGACAACCCCAACCCCTGGAGTTCTACAAAAACACCAGGCATCCTCTGCACAGACATAATAACCGACTACAACTACATCCTACGCAGCAGGTAGGTCCTCCCAAGTGGAGATATCCCCCCACCCCAGGGTGGCACCCTCACCTACTTGGCTGAGAAACGGAGAGAAGGAACACAGAGTCAACCCTCCATGGAGGAGGCAGAGACGATTTCCAATTTCCGATGCAAAAGCAAGACCAAGTCGTTTGTTACAAGATACGTTTTGGCTATTTTGTTGCAAATGCCACCAGCTGAAGCACTTTCCACCTTCCTCAATTAAATGCAAGACCAAGTCTCTTGTTACAAGATATATTTTGGCTATTTTGTTGCAAATGCCACCAGCTGTAGTACGTCCCATTCTTTCTCAGTTCTTTAACTCGTATAAAAAACACCCGTAGAAGGCTCGCCATATACATAAATGTCACATTCAGGACCAAGAAATAAGATGCATGTGGGACGCTTGAGGGACCCGTCTCCCGACATAAATCTTTAGCAGGCAGACATTTATTCTGGTGTTGTTGGTACAGGTCAGCAAACCACCTGTATGCTAGGGCTTGGTGTTATTTGGCTCTGATGTGAACTTAAGCCCCATCGCTTTGAAAATCGTAATTAGTTTAATGAGTTGAAATAAGAAGGATCACTTCCATTTTGAAGGAAAAAATGCCCCTTTTGGCTCATATAATTTCTAAGTGAAATAATAGACTAGACAGGCAGCAGGAGACTGAGGGGTCTGTTTCCTTGGGTTGTAATTAGTATTTTGCAAAAGGGCATGCAACCGGGCACCTCCATTTCAAATGAAATCCACCTTTCATGTATTTACAAATATCTCAGCATGAAGAAAATCCTGTGAAGAAATTCCTTCTTACAAAACGTGACTTCCAAGACAACGTCTGTGGACACAGAATCCTGCGCACAAATATTTACAGCGGGTTTATTTTCAAATGCCAGACCTTGGAAGCATCCAAGCCGTCCCTCAGTAGGTGAGTGGATAGACAAAGGATGGTGCATGGAGACAATGGAATAGCATTGATTACTAAAGATAAATGAGCTATCAAACCATGAAAAAAACGGAGGACGTTTACATGCGTATGACTAAGTAAAAGAAGCCAAACTGAAAAGGCTCCCCACTGTCTGATTCCAACTCTGTGACGTCCTAGAAAAGGCAAAGCTGTGGAGACTGTAAAAATTTCAGGGGTTGCCAGGGGTTTGGAGGGAGAAATAAATAGGCAGATAAATAGCATTTGTCCAAACCCATAGAACATACAATTCAAACAGCGAACTTTCCTGTAAACTGTGCATGTTAGCTGATGAAACAATGTATCAATATTGGCTCATCCGCTGCAACAAATGGACCTCATTGATACAAGATGCTACAAGGGAAGTTATGTGCCAATGAAAGAGTATAGGAAAGCTCTCTGTTCTCTCTACTCAATTTTCCTGTTACCTTAAAACTGTTTTAAANCAAGGGAAGTTACGTGCCAATGAAAGAGTATAGGAAAGCTCTCTGTTCTCTCTACTCAATTTTCCTGTTACCCTAAAACTGTTTTAACCCNCCTGTTACCTTAAAACTGTTTTAAACCCCCCCCCAAAACAGTGCAGTGCTGTTTTAAAAATGCCTTTAAGTGCCGCGCTGACTCAGGTCTTCCTCATGCACACTTTCAAAATGAGTTGATGAAGCACATAGAGAATGTGAGCTAGGGGTAAATGCTCAGGTAGGACAGAGCATTAGGGACACCTTTTGTCCCCAAGCCTCCTGGTGACAAGTCCCCTCTGTTCGCAGCAGCTGCATCTCCCTGTCACACCTCCTCCCTGGGCAGTCCCTCCGAATCCCTATATTTCAAATGGCCTCAATGAGATATTTACCTCGCGCCTGTCAGTGTTCTTTATTCATTGCCCAGGGCGCTAACTTTAACATTTTCATCCAAAGCGTCACTTACGGCTGGGCTGAGATTTATACGAGAGGATCTAGCTGACAGATGGCAAACTATTTGGTTTAACTGGTGGAGAAATTGTCAGATTTCTGGTTTCCTTTCAGTCTTCCCCCCCTCCCCCCTTGAAACACACACTTGGGATCCCCTTCTGTTTAGGTCTTAAGCTAGACTCTCACCTGTAAAGCCCCAGAGCCCATTCCGCATTTAATTTTGCTTAAAATGGATCAGATCGGGTGGAGCAAAAGTAAGGTGATAGCCGTCCGTATGAAAAATAATACAATCATTAATAAAAAATAATAAACGAATCAACTCTGTGTTTTGCGTACGCACAACTGTAAACAGACTTCCCCCCACCCTGCACGAAGATCTGACATATTTCTCTCCTAAAAATTTTGAACAGAACTCTCCCCTGCAAACAAAGCTCCCCGTTTTATTCAGAGCAACACATCGCAAGTCAGAGGTCCGCAAATATTACTTTTCAGGAAGGCTCTCCAGGTATAATGCCGCCAATTTATACCGGATGATAGCTTTGAATTACCGATGGTGGGCTGCAGGATGGCTTCTAAATGAAATGTTTTATTTCTGAAGCTTTCTCATCTTGTTCCTCGAATGAAACAAACACTACGGGAAATAAGCCATTTCGAGAGCAATTTGTTATTTAACCGCAGACAACAAGAGCGAGCTTATCAAAAAATGAGGACTCCCTGACCACACTTCCGTAAGCCTCAAATAAGAAACCGTGGAAATGGGGAAATCTGGCTCCTTTGTCTTCCAGCTGCGGGGAGGGGGCGGGGCATTAAACTCTACAGAATCCATTCGGTGTGGTCACCCCACAGACACGTGTTTAGCCACGATTGAGGGTCAGCCCTATGACCTGCTACCCCGGGGGGCGAACAAAAGGGG